GGCTGCACTCCCTCCAGCCCTGCGTGCGCTCTCGTTGCTCGCGCCTTCACTCGTGGCCGCCGGCGCAGTGGCTCCAGATGGCAACACAGCCCCGCCCGGCCCTGCGGGTGGCCCTCGCCCCATTGGAGCAACCTCGAGCCTGCCAGGAACCTTACAGGACCCGAAATCCAACCCACACTATGGCATAGTCCTTCGAGCCCGTCTGCCACTGGGATGAAACCCAAGCCCCTCCCCTCCCCCGTGAGAGCTGTCTGAGGTGCTCAAGGGTTCAGGGTGCCTGGTGGGTGCTGGGGTAGACTCCTCTTCCTGAGCTGCTCCCTCAACAATCTGCTTCCCTTTCCCACTGCTGCCCTCCCTCCTCAGAATAGGAAGAGTTACACATTTGTTCTTATTAGCTGTGTGACCTTGGGCAAGTTCCTCAACATCTCTGTGGCAGTCAGCTCACTAGTCTAAAGCCATAATAGCACCTACTTGAGGTGTAAAATTTTAGATAATCCACAGAAAGGACTTAAGCACAGGGGATTGTACACAGTAAGTACTCAAGAAATGTTCACTGGTGTTATTTCCTTCCTCTGGGCATTCACGCTGATGACCTCCTTTGTATTAAGAGTCAGAGCTGGGTAAGTGGTGGCTGTTACAGCACCGTGCAAAGCTCTTTGCCCATGTCTTTGAACCCTCCATGGTGTTCGAGACGCACACATACCCTGTGAGGATGCAACCCACTCTTAAGTCATACTGTAGATGAGGGTGGCGGGCAGCCAGACCCACCTTCCCCACATCACCTAAGGCCACCAAAGTCCCGGAAGCCAACCCCTCACTATAGGCAGGGCTCCTCATGGCAGGGGCTGCAGGTCATCTGTACCAGGAGTGGACTGTCTGCTGTACTTATTAAAAATGAAAATTCCCTCCACCCTCTTCCCAGAGAAATGAAGATCTCAGCAACTTCAAGTCTAAATTTTAGGCAGCCCTAGATCTGCAGGAATAAACAGGCTCCCTAGGTGACGAGGGCCCACCCAGGCCTGAGGACCACTGCTTCCACCTTAACAACCTGTGACTACCTGTCCCCATCTCCCCGGAGACTCTCGTGGCTCAGGAATTAAGAGGCACGCCCAGGTCTCCCGTTCTCTACCCTGCTTCATCTGCCCCCTTCCATAAAAATAACTTTTAGCACAAGAAAGGATAGTGAGCATCTTCCAAGTAACTCCACAAAGACAGCAACCAAATGATGATGCCAAAAGTAGCTGTTCAAAAAGACTTTGATTTTATTTTGTGATGTGTCAAACTGCCTCATTCTCAGTGCAGGTGACCCCTCCTCCCCAGGAAACAAGAATGGGAAGGGAGATCTTTTGTGAAGTCTTGGCCTCCACTAGGCCCCAGGGAAACCCCACACAGTTCTGAGAGTTGACAGGAATCTCATCAAAGACTAGAGTGGGTGGGAGGCAGTGACAGGTGGGGCGGCAGAAACCAGTCAGGAAGCTGGGGCTTGCAGAACCATGTCCTTAGCCCTGCTCAGCTTCGGGGCTGCCATGTGCATGATGGAGAAGGGGAGGAGACTCTCCCCTGACTTTGAAGCACCCCTTGGCTGGGCATGGCTTTGATTCCACTCAGGGCTCAGGTGAGAGGAGCAGGAAGCTGTCGTGGGCTGGCTGCTTCACAAGGTGCTGCTGCTGGTGCCCCTAAGTCCGACACCACGGACAAACTGCTCCAGCAGGCCGCCGATGGCACCGGAGGGGCTGGGGGCTGCTGCCCGAAGCCCCACTGTGCTGCTGTACGCAGCCAAGAAGGCTGAGCGCACCTCCTGCAGCCGAGTCTCCCGCTCACTCAGGGCTGAAAGCCTGTGGTGAGGGAGGGAGAGAGAATGAATGCATTACCCTGGAGCAGCATCCAACATCCTTACTCCTAAGCCAGTGCCAGCATCTGCCCTGTGGCTGTAGCCCCCTTGTGGTTCAGGCCCCAAATATGTGGCCCTGTTCCCCTCTTAAACTATCTCTCAGCTCTCAGGCTGCCGTCTCTATCTGAGGAGGCCAGGGTCCTTGCCAGAAACCCCTGAGGCTCTAGCTACCCCTTCAGTCACTGTAGTCCCAAGGTAAACTTCTCCAGCAGGATTCCTGTTCTGATTCTATCTGCTTTTCCTTCCCTGGCCCCTACAGACACTTATCGTAAGTCAAGAAGGGGAACAAGTGAATGAAAGTCAGGCTTATCCAAGTGTGAATTCCATATGCGGCTGAATGGTAACTTGAAGGGTCTTTAATAGAAAAGCCCTAAGGAACCAGCCAGAGCCAACCACTGGACTCAAAGTTATGCAGTCTAAGGGTAGGAGGGACTTGGAATCAGAGGAAAGGTCACAGATCTACAAGGGATGAGCACTCACGTTTCCATTCACCTAAGCAACAAGGCCAGTCCTGAACACTAAATTACTCCAAAATTTTCCACAGAAGACCAACTCCTAGGTAAGTCCTCCTGTGAATTTGTCAGAAGCAGCAGCAATGCCCTCAGTTTCCAAGCCCAAATGACTTACACCCAGGGCCTGGGGAAGGAGATGGAGATACGAGGATAAATGACAGTCCTGGGTAAGTGTGGGGAGAAGAGTCCCAAGGAAAGAAGACCCGTGGGAGTGACGGGGGCGGGGCTGGAAGCAGCAGGTTCTAGGGTCAAGGCAAGTCAAACCTCTCTCACAGCAGCTCTAAGAACATGGGGCTGATACTGCATTCCTGCAACACCATGAACAACTCCAAAGGCTCTCCTGGCATTTGGGGGAGATTTGTGGCCCCAGATCCTCTTCCCTTCCGAATTAGGTTTCACACAGGCTGGAGACCATAACCAGGAGAAATTCAGATCAGTACTTTGTATTCACAGGGAATATCCAAAGGTCCAGTGCCCGCCATTTTTGGGAGGTATAAGGGGGAGAGATCACAACCTATTTGGAGGCAAGAAAACTGGAGCCCAGATAATACACACAGGCAGGCAGAGATTAGAGCTACCACAGTGCCAATCCCTCTCAAAGAGATGAGCCAGCAGGCTCAGAAGGCAAGGCTGATACCCCAAGACATAGCTGGTGAGCGTTAACAGCTAGGATTTAGATCAAATTTCTGATACCAAAGCCCAAATACTGAACCCACATACTGTTCAACCTCATCAGGAATCCACCTTGACCACACCCTGGTCCTACAATCTTGAAGCCACGGGATCACACAGAACCTAGCCCTCCTCTGGGAACCATCCAGAACCTGAGGGCCAGCCTGGAACTCAGAGAGCTGCCCAAGGCATAAATTTTAGGATCTGGGGCTGGAGTCGCCCATTTCGGTGGCTAATGTCAGGTAAGTGAGGAGCGCTATCAAGCAGGGGCAGAGATCTGTTTCCTCCAGAACTGGCTCTTAGGCTGTCTTGCTGAAGTAGAGCTCTTGCTTCTGGCTTAAGGATCTGGCTACAGAGAAGGCTGTGCCAGATGCCAGTGGCCTCTGAAGTCCCTGGCTACTCCCTAGCTGCGAGGCCCGGACCTATGAGCACCATCCGGGAGTCCCAAGGCCTGCCCCTGCCTGCCCTCAGCAGGGACCCTTTTCAACTCCCAAAAGCAACTTGCCTCCAGTCAGCCAGCACTGGGGGGAACGAGCTGGATTCTGGTAGTGGTGACAAACACCTAGCACCCTGAAGTCCATTCAGCCCAAGGGGGAAGTGAGAGTCCTCAGGCAACCACAGCGGAGCAGCAGATCCTGCCCCCCAGGCCGCTGGAGGCTCTCCCCCGCCTGACATCCCTGAAACAACAGAGCAGGCTGGGGGCAGGTGGCTGCCACGGAGGCGGCTGCTCAAGTGGATGTACTGCAAGAGCTGGAATCCCAGGACTGGAGCCCTGAGGGGAGAGAATTTTACAGGCCTTGGCTTTAGAATCCCCATCCAATTTTCCTTCCTGACCAGAGGCAAAAGCAGATGACAAAAAGTGGGGAGGGGACAGCAAAGAAACCTTGGTTTTGCTTGGGAGGAGCCCAGCCCTTGGGCTAACCCAGCTCCATTGTGGCTCTGGTCTCTACCATACACCTACCTTCACCACCCCACTGTTCTGCTTTCAAAGGCTTCTCATGTCAGGCAAAGCCTTGGACAGAAATAGAATCTTCTATAGTTACAGCCCAGCCAGCTTTCCCTAAGGGTGTGCCCCAAGACACCCATGGATGGGTTCTGGAGACTCGAGAGAGTGAACACACCGCAATGCACTTCCTGAGCAGCCCATGAGGGTCCAGGAGCAGCGAGGTATACTTAGCTGAGACACTGAGGGGCAGGGAGCCCAGGCCGGCTCCCTGGGGCCAGCTGCTGCCTCACTCCTAGCCAGCACTCTTGACTGCTCACCAGCTTTTGATGTGGGCAGGGGGGCATCCTGCCTTCTCAAGCAAGACACTTACAGACAATTGTTAGGGAGCTCATCCGGGAAGCTGAAAGGGAGAGAGGAGTCTGCGTGCAGGACAGCCCGCTCCTGAATACTGCCACAGCCTGTTACCA